AGGCTCCCCCGCACCTCCTCCGGCCTGGGCGGCCCGCGCCTCCTCCAGCGGGAGGATGGCAGGCTGCCCTGGGAGTCCCCATGCGCGGCCCCGCCTCTGGGCACAGCTGAGAAGCGTGAGGCTCACCCACGGGCGCATATTCCCGCCGTGTCTGCCCGCGCAGGCCTGTGCCCCAGGGCCCCAGCGAACCCTCCTCGGTCTCTGTCCAGCGGGCATCGTTGGCCCCAGCGAACCCTCCTCCGTCTCCGTCCAGTGGGCATCGTTGTGCCTGGCGAGAGGCTCCGTCTGTGGTTTGTCTGCCCCGGAAGCCAGCCCGGCAGCCATTGCTTTGAGCCCCTTGCCACCTGCGGGCGGGGGACAGCCGTTTCACTCCCGTGCAGCCGGCGGCCCCTTTACAGCGCCAGGCCCGGTTCACTGCCCTCTCCCCGCATCGGGGGCGGAAGCAGCCGGCCGTGCCCGGAAGATTCTATCCGAACGCTCCGCGTGCAGCTCATGGAGCTCACTGAATTCACGTCTGAGTTTCCACGAAACCACAGGCAACAGTGGCACCAACTTCCCGACCAGCACGCGGAGCCCTCACGCCCCAGTGGCGTTCATGACCTGCTTCAAACCCTCGACGCCACTTCTGCGTGAGGGACATACAGGGAGGTGGGATCTGTCGGGAGGCGGGATCTGTCGGGAGGCGGGACGTGCCGGGAGGTGGGATCTGTCGGGAGGTGGGATCTGCCGGGAGGTGGGATCTGCCGGGAGGTGGGACCTGTCAGGAGGTGGGATCTGCCGGGAGGTGGGATCTGTCGGGAGGCGGGACGTGCCGGGAGGTGGGACAGACTGAATGACTAAATGCTCACAATTATGATGAATAAGCAGCTATTGTGTCTTCTGCTTCAGAAGTCTCAGAATGGCCCAGCAGTGTGGCTCAGTGGTTGAGCGTGGACCTATGAGCCAGGAGGTCACGGTTTGATTCCTGGTCAAGGGCACAGGCCTGGGTTGGGAACTTGATCCCCAGTAGGGAGTGTGCAGCAGGCAGCCAATCAGTGATTCTCTCTCATCACTCACGTTTCTCTCTCTCCCTCTCCCTTCCTCTCTGAAATCAATACAAATATATTTTTAAAAAAGGTTCAGAATGGATTGTCCAAACCAGTGACTTATTTATTTTAGATCCTCATCCGAGGATATGTTTGCTGACTTAGAGAGAGAGAGAGGGAGAGAGAGAGAGAGAAACATCGATCAGTTGCCTCCTGGATGTGCCGTGACTGGAGATCAAACCTGCAGCCTCGGTTTTGGTGCCGGGACGACGCTGCAGCCCCGCACAGCGGCCGGGCCGGCCAGCTCCTTGCAGACACTGTCCTGCTTGCAGCTTTGTGCCGGGCGCCAGTCAGGATTCCCGGCCCGCGGGGCCAGCTGCCCGGGAGAGACGCCAACCTGGATTCCAGGATGCGACCCTGAACATGAGCCGCGGATGGAGCTGCCTCCCGGGCCCACACAGCCATCCTCCCACCACCCGGCCTCGCCTGGCTCATTCTCCTCACTGCCCGAGTACTGGGTACCCCGGGCCCGGCCACCCCAAGTGCACAGGGCTGAGGGAGCAGGGCGAGGCACTGTGGGAAGATCAGCCTGTCTTGCCCGGCCGGCGTGGCTCGGTGGCTGAGCATCAACCTAGGAAACAGAGGTCACGTGGGGGTGCTGAGGCCACGGAAGCCTCAGTTCCCCAAGGTGAGATGGTCCCCAAACGCCGGGGGCCCTGCAGGGGTGGCAGGCAGGTCTGCAGGGCCAGCACAGCCCGAGGCGCCCGGACGCAGGCCGCCTGCTCCCCGGGCTGCGTGTTCTTGAGGATGACGCGGGTCCACACTCATCTTTCCGGAGCCGCACGGGACGTGGCCAGGACACGGTTGGTGTCAGGGGACCCTG